CATGAGCGTGACTGTATCCTCCATTCCATGGGCCTGACAGGGGATGTGTCATTGTGGGCGGGGGAAGGGGGGCCCTCCAAGTATGGCTTGCTGCATTGTCGTTGCCAGACATGAGTAACCTCTTGCTGTCAGATGCCAGGTCACCCCAAATGCAAGTTGCAGCATACCCCCCCCCCCCCCCCGGCCCCCATCAAGGGATTTGTGGAGGGACCACTCTAAGATGCTTTCCCCACTACCCCACTACTTTGCAGGGGACGCCGGCCATTTGAGAACAGTCTGAGAACACACCCTGGGGCCCTTGAGCTCGCGTCAATCAGGGCAGTCTGAGCTCATGAAGAAGCTGCAGGAGAACGTGGCCGCCGGCTCAGCAAGCGAGCGTATCTCATTCAAAAGTTGCCGTCAGGGTTCCGGTGGGCTTTCCTTTATTGGGTTACCCCTTAAATTGGGTGACCCCTGAAGTATCCTGAAGTATTGCTTGGGCCTACTGGAATAGACCCCATGGAAACCGCGAGGAGGTAGCAGAAAGCAACAGCTTGAAGCCCAGTGGCTTTGGAATGTGCAAAAAGTGATGCCGGGTCCAAGACACTACGTGTCAATCAATGTGGCCTGAATCAGCCAAGTCGATCACTGGCGAGCCATTGTCAAATGACAAAAGCATCTCTTCACAAGGGCAATCACTAAGGGCACTCCCTGGGTCGAGCAGGAAATTGAAAGCTGCAAGCATCACGGGTCCCTCAATTTCCATTTGTTGGACTGAACGTTGCAGTGTCAGACTGGAATCTACTAGCCAAGTTGCCCCGCCAAAAAGAATAATAGTCCGCAGATGGTTGGAACATTGGTTGGTAATTTGGGTGTGTCTTTTGATGAGAGTACCCTTTGTTGGGCGGCTTTCAAGAGAAGCCGAAAGCCAGGATCCCCTAAAAAGGACCCCAATTTCAGGCTGGCACTCCGGTGACCCTTTTTTCGTTTGATTGGCATCAAGGACTCGGTGAAGAAGGGCGCCGGGGACAACGACGCGCAGCGAGCTATGCTGCAGGCGGAGGAGCAAGACAGGCCAATGGGGCCATGGGTGGGTGTATGGCTTAGCAGCCTGGAGGATGCAAGCACCATCCTTGCGGATGGCCGTGGGGTAACACCAATGGGATCCCATTTTGGTTGGTAGGTGCACCACCCATTTTAGTCTATTTGAGTGGGGATTGGGATGTTCACTGGGGGTACAGGGTTTTGACTCATAGCCAGATCAACGGGAGCAAACAGGCCCTCAACAGATGGCCGTGGTTCGGGCTCTAGGGATTTGGCACTTCGGGCGGGGTTTGGAACGAGCCTGCTGGAGACTCATCTCAGAGCTCGCGTGGAACCCAGTTGTTAAACCTGTGGGGGAGGCTGCCCTTTGCAGATGGCGATGGCCATGCGGGCGAAAACAGCCTCAAGTTTTTGTGCACCCACCTGTCTCAGACAAATGCGTCGAGATGGAATCACCGTCCCGCGCAGCGCGCAGATTTGATTGGATCGTAGGCATTACTTCGAGGCGGAGTCCGTGAAGCAAGGGCGGCTTGCACAGCCGCAGCCTCAGGAAATTCCTCAGGTGTTCTACTTGCTCTTGAGAAAAGGGGAGTTCCATTCAGAGCACAGCATCCCAGTACATCAAGCATCCCCGTTTTGTTTTTTTGCGATTGGACGCTGTCCCACCCAACATTATCCTTCTGTGAAGATTAACTTTGGACTCACTAGCCTCTTTGAGCTGTGCACACAAACACGGTCATTGCGCGCGACGTGGGGCTCCTGGGCGGTCGGAAGGTCGGGAGCACTGGTGCTGCCAGGATGCGTCAAGAGAACCAAGCGTATTTGCTGAAGCAAATGGAGGAGAAGGACTCCAGGAAGAACGAGGCTGGGTGGGCGAGAAGTCACCCATGCGATGGGACGCCGCAAGAGGATGGTTCTGCCGTATTTTCCTAGACTTACTCCTTGGAGGGGGAGTCAGCAACAGGTTTGGTCGGTACGCTGTGGCTGCTGTTTCCGCATGGCCGATTTTTTTTTGAATCAGGCTTTCACTGATTCAGAAACCGGGAACCTCTTCTTCAAAACGCAATCAGTGACTGGGACCACATCGTGCCCAACTGCCAGCCAGCCAGCCAGCCAGCCGCTTCCTCCCAGGAGTGCCTTCACAGTATTCCAACTGGGTTTCACATGGGTTTGTGCTTTCTGGGGGGTCCCAATTCTTTGGGTCGCAACCTCCTCAGAAGCCAATAAGTTGCGGAGGAGAAGTACCTCCAGCACATCCAGGCTCAAATCCTCGAGCGGGACGCGGAGGCTCGTGGCTTGCGCGCCCTTGTGGCCTTTGCTCCACCTGCCGCCTCCCAAACCTACACCAAGAAGAATATGCAAAAACCCGTGACCCCTGTGCCAAGGGGCCCGTCTGACCTGCCGAAGTGTCCGCCCCCCCTTATCAAGGGGGGGCGCCCCGAAAGAAAGGATTCCCATTTATATGTGACGGGTTTGTCCATCAGGGGTCAGCCTTAGGAGTACAACGCCATTGAGAAGCAGAAGATCGTGGATCGCAAGCTGCGGAACTTGGAGCACCGCAAGGCCGGGGGAAAGCAGGGCGCAAGGGAGGGGGAAGGCTTGTGGCATGGGCACATTTTTGTACCGGGATACACCACCGAGCAACTGGTCCAACTGGTCCAAATGGTCCACATGGTCCACATGGTCCAAATGGTCCAAATGGTCCAAGGATTTGGTCCACGCAAAGGGGCATAAGAGGCCTTTCCCCAAAAGGTAGGCTGCCAGCTACCAGCTACATGTGGTTGGTTTTGACCATCAGCCAATCAGCATGCAGAACTAGTCAGGACATTGAGAAGCAGATGGAGTGGAAGACGCGGCAAGCCGTGCCGGAAATGAGACACTTGGCTTGACGGCCGGGATGTTTCTGCATCTATCGCATTGCCAAGCGAGGGGCCACACAGGCTTCATGAAGGCAAGCCAGGAAGCGTAAGGGAGCATGCCCTTAGCTGTAGTTTGGGGCCAGGGGGCAGGTTTTCTTCATGGTGCAGAGTCCGAACATCAATCTTCCTTGTACACTACTTCGCGCTCTTTTCCAAGATCCCCCCCGTTTTGGATCAATGGGGGCCAAAGAAACTAAACCAGCGGCTTTTCGGGTTCCAATGCAAATTTTCAGCTGACAGCGATTGATCAGGTGAGGCTGAGATCCAGTTGAACAGGCCGGCTTGAATGGGGCGCTCGCTCGATGGGAGAGTCGTGCCACGGATTCGTTGACTGTGAACTATATAAGCTACCCAAATCAACCAGCCAACTGGCTTTTCCTTGCATATGTCATATTTCCTATATACCTGGGCCCTTTTTTGGGATTCATTCTCTCATGTCTTGGCGCAGTCCGGCCTTACCGGCACGTCTGGGAGTCGGGCGCCAGGCCACTCCTGGAGCTCGTGGAGAGGACGCTGCACACCCGGGACGAGAATACGAAGAGGCCCAAGGAGGCGGCGATTCCGGAGGCGTGGGGGGCCTGGGGCCTGGGGCCGAAAAACAGGACAAATGGGTATGGGTCAAAATTAAACCACCAGGATATGGACCGCAGGCTTTGGTCCATTCCACTTACTAGCGTTCTATTTGGGGTACCTATTTTTGACCCACAGCCGCATGTTGACGCTGAGGCGCTTGGCGCATTTGAAAGTCTTTCATAGTCTTTGTCAGGCGTTCAATCCTAAGCCTTTCCGGCTTAGAGTTCTGCCGGAAGAAGGTACAGGGGGCTGCACTGGTAACCTGGTACTTCATGTCGTTACTTTCCTGAGGGCTTGAACATCAAACTCAGGTCAGACGTCACCTTCCTTAGTTACCCAGGTGCGGGGGTCTTCTCGTGCAACATTCGAAGAGGAAACGTAAGGCAACTTGGGAAGTTGGAGGGCCCATCCCCAGCTCGTCTTGATATGGCATTGCACTTGGGAGGGTCGCAATGTGTTGTTAGATGTGGAAGCACCACGCAACGGGTTTGAGATTGGTCCTCAGATGTCGTTGGTGACTCTGAATCACTACCCGGGCTGCAAAATGAAGCGTTTGCAAATTCTAACCCCTACTGGTTCGCGAGTGAACAGCGAGCCCTTTGTGAATTGTTTGCTTTCGCAGCGGGTCGCCTACGACTCCTCACCCAGGAAGACGATGAGGACTTGTGAACAGGACGCGGCTTCGTGTCGCCATGTGTCGCCAGCTCCGGTCGTTGCATAGACCCCCCATCAGGAGATTGGTACTTGCAGACTTTTGCAGGCCCCCTCGTTCACGGAAGCGCAGATGGCTGCACATGGTCCATGCTGCCAATTGGTCTTGTCTTTCCAGCTGCCAATTGGACATGCAGGACGCCTCTTCGAGAATTCGCCTGCAAGAAAACTGCCTTTTCCACACAAAGCCGCGCGCAGGTGGGATGAAGGCCTTCAGGGCAAGCACTCCCAAACAGCAGAGCTAAAACAAACACCAGCTCTGCCTAAGCACCCACAGAACATCAGGCACAAAGTGCCGCAGTTTCACACTAGCAGAAGTTTCACCGCTTCATGTCACCTGGATATGTTTGCAAAACAATTCAGCTCGTTGCTTGCAAGCTGGATGTTTCACCAATGTTACCTGGTGCTTCAGGATGTTCATGCTTGAGCTGACTTGTTGGTTTCCATGAGTCAAAGCCAGTTACAAAAGAGTGGCAGTGCAGTAGCAAATCGTGCAGCTGCTTCATGCTGCACCATCCTTCAGCCAACGGTGGTCTCACTCGGCGTGGATCAAAAGTTGTGACCGCTCAGGGCATCCGACGTGCTGGCGCTTGGGTTTGGGATTTTGAGGCGCGAGGAGTTTCTTCTCTGCGGAAGCAATGAAGACCCAGAATTGGCAACCCCAACCGTAGATGCAGCTGTCCAATGTGTTTTAGTCTCACCCACTGGGTAGTCCAGGTGCCTGAAATGGGCCAAATGGCCGTGTTTTCCTTGTTTTCCGGCCGGGCATCCGAGGATTCGCGCGCGCTCACGGAAGCGGAGCGCGCGGAGGCGCGGTCGGCCTTGGAAAGGGTGAGGCCTGGAAGGGCCTGAAGCAGGGCTCCCTACATGTCCCCTTGGTTTAGATATGGTCTTTTGGGATCGTTTGGGCATTTTTGCGCCAATTTCAAGTAGGTGTACTTTTGGTAGGGCAACAAATTCTCCGAACGCCAGGCCCAAGCAGGCTTGGCACGGCTGTGGCGGGCTCAGGCTGCGCAAGCGTTGCGTGGTTTAAGCTGGTGGTCCCCAAAGATTGCACATCTCCATTGTGGGGGTCTGCGCGGCTGCAGTTTCTCGCAGAAATTAAGGTTGGAGCGACTCTGTTGGGAGAGGCAGCGGTGGTCGATGGAGGAGTCGGACACTTTTGCTTGCGCACGCTGACAGCAATGCGCCTTCCAGAGCTAGGGTGAAGCACAACATAGAGACCGTATAGATGATCCTCCCATGTTATTATCTCATTTGCTTGCCAGCTTTCCAGCACGGAGGGAATCGTGCAAATTCGTTGATCGAACGGCACATGTGAAGAGCATGGGCAGCATGGCATTCCGCAGGACCGCAAGCTGATCACGGAGGCCGTTACCGGCATTGGGTGTGTGGATTGGATCCGTTTTGGGTCATCTTCATTGTAAGGCACCAAATCTCGCCAAACCAAGGCCCCCCCTCCTCCCGCAAAAGGGGCGTTTTTGAGGACCACTGTCATGATCCCTTGTTAAGGCCATGAAGCCTATGCTTGAAAATCGGGTGCTCGCGCGTGTTCCGGCGATCGCCGAAAGTGCGAGCGCAGGTGGCGACGCTGTTGCGCTCGGAGTACCCAGAGCTGCTCAGCGGTCGATGGGTGCGCCTGGGTGCTGCTCTTGGCGAGGCATGTCACAACCCTTGGGTTCTCTTGGGGCCGATTTCTGGATGGAAGCCTGAGAGGGCTCCCCGCTTTGGACGCGCACGGTTTGCGACTCTTGGCTCCAGACCGTTTTTTGAGAAATCTAGTGGCGGCGATGGTCATGGCGGCCTGGCGGCTCGCCTGGTTGCCGGTGGCCTTCTGCATGCGCAGCAGGACGGAGACGGGGCAGAATGTGTGCATGCTGACGGCCAATGCGCCGCAAGCCCATCATGCGCAAGACCTAGGCGATTTGTTCCAGGCCCGCTTGGCATGCGTTTTGCTTGCTGCCGTGGCATTTGGCAGTCGGGTGCCCAGATGTGCTCAGCCCACCTGGGCTAGAAGACTCAAGACTTGGTAAGATAGACTGTGGAACATCCAAAATCACCCATGCGGAGGAATCTCAGTTGCGAGCAAGACACCGTTGAGGTCAATCTGTTTTGGCAGTGTGGCTCGCAGGCATGCCTTACCGCCGACTCTGCGACCTCGGTGGTCATCATGGCCTTGCAAGACTGGCAAGGGATGATACCGCTTCGAACAGAAGACCTTCCAGGCAGGTTCCTTCACACACATGCCCCGAGGGGCATGGAGCGCCGTTTGCCCAAGGCCTTGGAGTACTTGGGGGCACGGGTGGAATCCTGAGGGAGTTGAATCTCAGATCAACAGGCCCAACAATATGCCGCTTTCGGGGTCAAAGTGACTGTTCCCAGGAAACAGGGTGCGAAAAGAAGCCACTCTCTGAATCAATCTTCCGACCTTTTGGTTAGTTTTGCCAACCATATTCAGTTCCTTGCAAAGTCGACCGCTGTTATCAAGGAAAGTCTTAGGCACCCCCTGTCCCCGAAGCGGATACCCGATGTCAGCCTTCCCTTGAAGGGTTGCGAAAGGGTCTCCTTTCCGAACCCTCCATCTTGAGCAGACTCATCAGCCATGTAGCCCCAAACTTGCTGGTACTCAGTAAAAACAAATGAGGGACTGAACCCAGGCGTTGGTCCCCTTAAAAGAAACCAGTTGGATGGTTTATAAGGGTCATTCCCTCATTCCCTGAGCTGGTGCTTCGTTTCCCAATCGCTCGGCTGCAACTCGGGTGCAGGAGGGGACTTCAAGTTGCGGCACCAGATCGCCCTCACCACCGACGCGGGCGAGGGTCACTTTTGCTACAGCGACTCAGCTGCAAAGCGAATCCGACTGCGCCGAAACCCGTAAACATGCAGCTCGCGTAGGCTTCCGCAGAGTTCCCCTTGTCATGTTCAAAAATAAAACTCTGCTCCTTTTAGTTTCAGCCCGCTTTTTGTCCACATGTGTTACTTGCTGGTTCTCGGCAAGAGGGAATGAACCCGCCAACCAAACCCATGTAGCAACTAATTCTTGAGAGCGGCAAGTTCCGTTATCCCAACAAGTCCCTCGCAAGTGAGGCCATTTAGCTGGCGGCTTTTGGGCGGGCGCTGTCATGGGCGCTGCGGTGGGCGGCAAAGTGGGCGCTGTCGGGTTCTGGGGAGGCCGGCAGACCTTCTTGAGCTGTCACCGTTTTCCAGCTTTCTCGTGGGGAAAAAGGTGGGGTGTCCTTCTCGCAAAGGAATCCTGAGCCAACTTGAGCGGGGT